TGGCCAGGGCCTGCCATGGACTGTTTGCCACAGATGGCATTTCATGAGAAGAGCCAGGAGAGCCAGCTTCCCCAGCAGAGTGCCAATCTGGACCAGCCTCTTCTGCTCCCATTTGGGCAAGTGTTGTTCCTCAGCAGCCTTGTTGCAGGCTCAGGCAGCTCTTTGTGCTGGTGATGGACTTTGTGGCTCCGTTCCTATGTTTGATACTGCACCCAGGTACTAGACTCAGTGTTTCAGTTTCTGCAGGTGTCTGCAGGTGTGAGCTTTGTGCAGGACATGCTGCAGATGCTCCAAGCTCACACCTGCACTGTGTGCAGGTGTAAGAGCAGGGTCTGCATGGAGGGCAGGTTACCATCAGCATAGGAGATACAACTTGGGTTTTACAGCTTAGCTTGGACCATGTGTGCAGCTTTGCTCGTCACTGGTGTCTCCCTGGGCACCCCACCAGTTTGCATCACTGTGATGAGTGGTCTTCAGGCTCCCACAAATAATGGTGGTCATGATGTGAAAGCGGATGGGCCAGGTGAAGACCTGCCATGCTGCGGTGTCTCAATTTCCACCGAAGGTCCTTGAGATAAAAGGAGACTTGAGATGGCTGGATTCCTGGGTCTGTTTAGCCCCAACACAAGTATGAAGGAGACTCTGCTAGGGTATGAGTCTGTCCATGGGATATGTGAGTTTCCCGGCAATTTCTTTCTTCAAAGTTACTAAATGAAAGCTCTTCTGGCTTCTGTCATTCATCTGTTTGGAAGAAGGATGCTCAAATCCTGCCTAATCCCAGATCTAAAGGACATGGAGTGGATTCCTATTCAGCCTTTAGAGGAAAAACCAACTTTGCCCTTTTTCAGGATCATCAGAAGCAGAGATACTTTGAGGAAACAGTTTTACGGACTTTGCAGATCTTTTCTGTCGTTAATTGCCTTTCCTCTACAGCTTATTTTATTTCTCATTTCCTTTGAGCTGATGTCACACGTTTCCTCTTCTCTAGTGACTCTGCAGTCATGCTGAAGTTGCACCCATTCTGGTGTCGTTTTTGAGAGCTGCCTGCTTAGGGACCTTCAAGCCCCAGCTCAGAGAAAATAACACCTGGAAGAAGACCAAGTATCCTCAGTGAAACACCCATCACTGCTCTACTAAAGCCGAAGACGGACATACCGTGCTGAATCCTTTTGATTGTGGTAAGCAGAAAATCTACTTTCTTAGTACTATTCCTCTTGGAATATGCTTTTGCTGACGGCATAGCTTGCATTAGCATGGTCTTTGCAGCTTGCAGCCATGAGCCAGTAAATCCTCTTCGGGAGCGCACGGCCCATGGGAGAGAGTGTAGGCTGAGATCAGCGCCCACAGTTGCCCCAGCCATGCTGCGCAGCCGGGTACTTCCACCTCCAGCTTTGCATACAATGGAGTGATGATATGAACCACTGGGGATTACTGGCTCATGTACTCGTGCACAAGGTAGAGGATTGGGCTGGAGTTGCCAGCGATTTTGGCAATGCAGCGCAGCCCGCTCAGCAGAGAACGGGACCCTCACCCACCAGCCCACACCCTGGCCACGGCACCTGTTCTCCCTTCTGCTGGCACAGAGAATATTTATGTGTTTTATACAAAGGGGAACCACTTCAACAGGAGAGGCTGAGTGAGATCTCTCACAGGGTACCCCAGTGTCTAGGGCTTAGGACATCTCACAAGTATACAGGAGATGTGAGCCTGAGTTCCTCAGGCTGAAGGGGGAAGTGGCTATTGAGTAAATTCCGTAGGCAATGGTGCCATGCTCTCTTCTAGCTGTTTTTTGTATAATATCTGGCTTGACAAGTGAGAAAGGAAAAACAACTCTCTTGTGATTCCACGAAGGACCTTGGCGTTGGCACTGTACAGCCTGCTAACGCAAAGACAGATGAGCTCTACAAAGTGCTGCTGTGGCCAGGGGACAGCACTGCCATCTCCCACAGCCCACCTTTGCCAGAGCCTTCCAGCAGACTTAGTGATGTAGAGCACGTCCTTGCATTCATCTCTCCAGGTCAGAGCACAGCCCCTTAGCTCAAACCTGTCTTCTGGGCAGGGCTTTGCAGTGGAGAAGGATGTGCAGGTTCACTCTCCTTTCCACCCCAGCTGCTAAATCTGGCAGCCGATGGGCAGGCCTGGAGACCCCACCAGGAAAGTTCACCAGAGCTCCTGGGCAAAGCTGGGAGGCTGCCTTGCCTGTGTACAGCATCAGAAATGGAGAGGTAGATGGACAGTGCCCCACAGCACAGTCTAGAGGGACTTCGTGAGCAACAGTCGTGCCGAGGTATCGGAGGTGGGCCTCACATCATCTTTTTTTTTTCCCACTCTTGGTCTATTCAAGTCTGGTGCTACAGTGATAGAGCGCCTTTCATTGCAAAGATCCCAGCTCCAAGCACCAGAACTACTTGTTGAAGTTGGCAGATGGTCAGCACAGTGGGTTTACGATGCAGATTTGAAAAAACCCTAAGCTCTCTAATGATCTTAGGTAATTAGGATGACCTTTTTTTCTTATTCTAACATCAGAGTAGTTATCAAACACAAAGCTCTCCACTAGTTTCTCCTGCCCCTGCACAGCCTCACCCCTTCCCTAAATGTCTGCATCTGCTAGGTGCCCTCCTGAGCTGAGATGCAAACCCTTCCAACTGGCGTATGTCCTTACCAGAGATGGTCCCTCAGTGGTGGCAGAGCTGGGCTTTTACACGGACATTGTTTTAAGGCCATGTTGTGACAGTTACCACTTTTCCTACATAGATGAGGGTGTGGAAACAGATCCATGAAACAACCAGTAAGACTTGCCTTGGGTCCTGCATGAACCAAAGGCAGAACAGGGAACAGAGTGTGGGCACCTGCCTGCTCTGGGACACCTCTGCAGGGCAGCAGGGAGTGACACGTTACTTCTCAGGGATGTGCCAGACCTCCGTAGCCAGACCCTGAGGCATCACAGCTCAGACCATCCTCACCTCCTGGCTACCAGCAGCTACTACTCTTTAGAGTCCACAGGTTCTCAGCAGGGTGGCAGAGATCAAGGTGAAAGAGGACAGTAACATGTGTCACCTGGCCAACTACTAGTACTGTCACAGCTACTCATTAATTCACATGGAACAGGACTGAAAGATTGAGTTTAAAGACACTCAGACCCCAGAGCTGCCCAGCATGCACCAGCCTGTGAAGGTCCAAGGACAAGCTGTGGCTATCTGTAGTTGTCCTTAGGGGACCTGTAAGGTGTGAGGAGGGACAGGCTTGGGAAGATGACTATTGCCTTCCTATCCTACCTGGAAAGAAGTACCAAGGTGTTTGTAGAGTTTTTTGAAGAAAGAGAGAGCTTTCTTGAGCTAGAGCTGACTTCCCCATTTGCAGAGGAATCTTGCAAAAGTGCAAATGTGTACTGAGGAACCAACAGCACATGGGCACAAAGAGAGATTCAGCCAGAGAGGGTGAGATGGGGATTCATGTCAGTATCTGCTGCTGAGGAAGATCCAGCAAGTTTTGAGGCAGGAGGGTGCCTTCTCAGGAGGCAACAGTCTTTGGTGGAGAAGGCTTGTTGTCCACGGGGCTGGTGGAGCTGAGGCAAGCAATTTACAGTGTGCAGCACCCGGCATTTCCATCGTAACACACAAGAAGTTTAGGCTTCGTGACTGGTGGTACAGTTTACTCATGCTCAAGGAAAACCACTGCGTTCTGCAAATTAGGTTAAACATCCAGCAAGTTTCCCATCAGTGAGCAACCTCGTGCGCTTGCCGGGGGCTGTCAAACCGCTTTACGTGCTTTAGTCGGTTACCTCCCCGTGAAGGAAGAGGGAGAGAAAAACAAGCAGATCTGCAGAACTGTGTCATGGAGAGGTGAGTGCTGGCCCAGTGTCAGAGATGAGCTGGTGCTCGAGCCAAGAACAGGCGTGTATGTCCTCTGGATGGCAAAGGCAGCAGGTTAAACTACAGAGGGGATTGGACCCAACCCATGTAAATCTGAGACAAGAACATATACAGTATCGATGACACAGGAATTTGATATGTCCTGTAGGCAAGACTTGAAGAAATACTAGCTGAGATGGGGACTGGTAATATTAAAAACCTGAAGGTGTCTCTTTAGGGACAGTGTCTGTCAGCAGCCTCACCAGCAGCACAGGAAAGCACAGAACTGCTGCTGCTGACACTTGCATTTGATGGAGAAATGGCAGGGGGAAAAAAAACAGCAAAGGGAGCCAGGTTGGTTTGATGACAACTTGAAATCAAAATGATGGCACAATAGACAACAGCCAGGATTTTAAGAGAGAGAAACTGTAGTTAAAATCAACAATGTACCCCAAAACATCACTCTTTAGGGCTAGTGACTCATCTTTTACATCATTCACTGACTAAAAAAAATTGAGAGCTCTGGTAGCCTGTGAAGTGAACGTGGGATCCTACGGTGCCTGCAACTGAGAAAACAAAGACATTCTTTACAAGTGTAAGAAGGAACATCTCAGAAAACAGCAAGTAAAGGGTGACTCTGGAATGGCACTAGTGAGACATTTTTAGCAGATATTGTTTCATTTCTGGAATTTCTGGGTAAAAATAAATCTAGGTGAGTTAGCATTAGGAACCACAGGGGAAAAAAAAGAGACCCAGAAAACCTGTTTGCTTATAGTAAAGGATTAAGAAACTTCAGACGAAGCAGAGTAACAGATGATTTTATCTCAGAACCCTCAGGCAGGAAAGTCTTTTGAGATTAGAGATTAGTGATCTGAGATGGCACTGCAGCACACAACGCTGGATGAAGGCACACAGGCTAGCACGGTGTGGAAACGGTGTCAAGGAACCAAGGGGACAGGGCAGGTGTCAGTGGCTAGAGCAGAGGCGTGAAGCGGAGCTCCTGTGGTCACAGACAGCTGAAAATGAAAGGTGGCTTTTGGCTTAGCAATGGCACCACACTGATCAGCTCGTTTTATGCTTTATATTTTTAGGTAAGAAGAAAAGCTGCGGCAGGAAATTCTGTTTCAGACACGCTCGCTCCGCACTACGATGTCTGGAAAGGGTAAAGGTGGTGATGAAGTTAGTGCTGATTTCTACATTTCATGCCACATAGACTCTGAGTTTCGCTACAACCTCTTCACTGTTTTCTACAGCATCGTTTTCATTCTGGGCTCTGTTGCCAACTGCTATGTGCTCTGGATTTTCAGCCGTATTTACCCCACCAAGAAACTCAGTGATATCAAGATTTTCATGGTGAACCTGACAGTAGCTGACCTGCTCTTCCTGTTTATGATGCCAACGTGGATTATTTACTATCACCGCCATGGAGACTGGACCATGCCTGAGTTCCTCTGTAGTGTGGCTGGCTGTTCATTTTTTGTTAACACCTACGCTTCTGTTGCCTTTCTGATGGCCATCACATACAACCGTTACCAAGCCGTGACTAATCCCATTAAAGCTGCTCAGCTTACCACCCAGAGAAGGGGTATCTACGTATCGGCAGCTATCTGGATCGTAATAGCGGGCAGCTCTTTATATTACCTCTTTGATGATAATACTAATCAGGTGGAGATCAACTCGAAGAATTTCACACGGTGTTTTGAGAACTATGACTCTTCTAGCAGTGTTACAGCTGTTCTTGCTATTCATGTAATCATCTGCATCCTCTTCTACATAACTTTCCTTTTTATGCTAGGCTGGAACATTATCATTATCAGGACCCTGTTCTCCAAATCAGCACAGCCACGGAAGAGTGCTCAGGTCAAGCAAAGGGCGCTCTGGATGGTTTGCACGGTGCTGGCTGTGTTCATCGTAAGCTTTGTACCTCACCACATCGTGCACCTGCCCTGGACCCTGACTGTTCTGAAGCAGTGGAAGAAGGAAAACTGTCACTTGCACCAACAACTCAACGATGCTCACCAGGTGACTTTGTGTCTCATGAGTATGAACTGCATGTTGGACCCAATCATCTACTGCTTCCTCACCAAGAAGTTCCAGAAGCATCTTTCAGAAAACCTGAAAAGCATGAAAGGGAGCCGCAAGTGCTCCAGGCAAACTACGGACACAGTGATTGAGGGCACCATTCACCAAGATGATGCCATCAGGATCTAGGACAGCTCTGTTCTGATTGCAGACTGAGATGCGTGAATTAGTCACTCATGTTTGCTCAAGAAGAGGCACTGAGGAACACAACAGAAGACCAGGGTATTACATTTCCATTTTCCCATAAGAAAGAAGAATGGATGCTCACTTCTTCTATCACATGCAACTGGCAGAACTGAAACCTAATATAACCTGGCAGAAAAGGACCTTCTGTCTGGGCTGATGTTCTCATGGGCACTGAGAACAGCTCAGACGATCTGCTTTTAACGAAAGAAACGTGGCACTGGGTCTCTGCAGTGAGCAGCTAGAAGCTAGGTGTACTGAAGTTAAGCCTTGTGTCAGCCCAGATAGCACCATCCCTGGTCCTTTGCCTGCCTAGCTCCCATGAAGAATCTAGTATCAGAGCTGTAAGAGACTTCTAAAAGACGTGGAAGAACAGACTGAGTTGACACCATCATCAAATGACTTTTCCAAGAAGCTTGCATGGTTCCATGAAGAGAGTGCAAGCTGAAGAAGCTCTTGAGTGGCTAGAAGGGACGTAGTCCAAGGAGTTCCTCAAATGCCATCAAAGAAGAGATCTGCACCTCTGATCCCTTCTTACTTGCTCGCATAGTCTGCTGCGGTCCACGCTTGACAGATGTCTGGGAGTAGCTGTTATGGACTTTCGCCTTTGCTCCCAGCTCTGGAATCAGTCAACTGGACTAGTAGGCAAGAAAAGGAGGAGAAATTTGCAGTGCCTCAGTCCCCATCCCCAGATCAGCACTATGTCCAAGGGGGACTATTGTCTGCCCTGGCTTCTTGTATGACAGCAGAACTGGCAAACCAGTGGCCTCTTGCACACAGTTTAGTAATTTTTGGCTCCCTGCATGTACCTGCAGAAATCCAGTCTCACTTTGGAGGCTCCAGTTAACAGAAGATTATTGTCAGCATGGGCATTACAAGAAGAAGAAAAAAAGCTTAAAATGCTTCAGTATCTTTGTTCTTATTTATTTAAATTAGGGTTGTAGCAAGCAACTGTACATTACTCCTTCCCCCAGCCTTTCTATTTCTGTTATGAAGAAATGAAGCTGACTAGTTCTTGATATCTTACCACAAGTGAAGTATTAGGTCAGGTCACAGCCACTTTCTGGGTAAATCAGCGCTGCGCAGTGATGCAGCACACTGGACAGACACGTAATTCACACACTGGGACAAGGCTGGAGACCCCTCACTCAGGGCTGGCTGCAATCAGCTGGGGCCCAGGGCAACGTGACTTCCCAGGGGTGCCAAGTTCTGCTACCAGTCATGAGACCCTTGAGGTTCCTTTTCTGACCCAATTGCTCAAGTCAGCACAGGAAATTGGGCAAAAAAAGAGAAGGGTACTTAGTGTTTTCACAACTTTCTTGTTCCCTAAACTACACAGGAGAGTCTGGTTGATGATAGGAAAAGTGGATCTATCTGACCTGTGGCACTCATTATTCACATGCAAGGACAGCAGCCTTCCCACGCTCACCAGAGAATGTGAAACATTGGCTCAGGTCTTTCCAAAGGTAGGACCAACGTTTGTACCAGACTTTGCCTGTATTCAGTGGAGATACAGGTCCTTTAGATGTATCTCCGCAAGACCCTCAGGCAGCTTTTATGCTTACTTGTGCCAACAAGCAAAAGAACTAAGATGTTTCTTTTTCTAATGCCATCTGCCAGGGTCAGCCATGTGCTTCAGGCCCAGTGCCAGGCAGAGGAAAGAACCTGATCGAAATGTGAATGCACTTCTCTCTTGGTCCAGTAATGGTTACCCACAAAGAAAACCCGCTGGCACCTCTTGGCAGAGAGGTAACTCCCTGGCTATACCCCTCAGTCACGTTCAAAGTTTTGCCTTGAATCTTGCAGTCATCTGAGCCACAGCACACAGCAACGGGGGTGATTTCGGCAGTTTAAAAGCCTAAATCCTGCTTGCTGGAGGAATCTGCCACTATTCCGCCCTCCCCAGATGGCATGTTCTGGCCAAGGAGCTCTTGCAGATGGCACGGGGCTTTCCTCTTCCCTTTGCCACCCGATGTGATAGCAGAGCTCTCTCGCTTCACAGCTCCTAAAGCACTGAGCAGATGGACCGTGGCCACTCTTAGATGAAAGGAAAAGGGATTTTACGTGGAGATCTGGTAAATGCGTGATCTTCTATTGATTCCTGGAAAGCTTGCAACAGTTTACAGTTTAGGCCACTTATTGTGGGCAAATAACACGCTTTGCTCCGCAGAAAACAGCTGTAGGGCCAGGGAGGGCTCAGAGAACAAATGTAAACTCGCAGCTAAGGAATGGGGTAAGTGGAGGAAAAAGCCCCGAGGGCACTTCAGGAGAACACGTTGCAGTAATTAAGTCAGCGACAGCACGTTTCTAAACACCAGCCTGAGTTACTACTTCTGTTCCTGGAATTACTTTCTCGGTTTTACCGCAACGTTGCATTCCTCTGCCTTCCTCTGCAATAAAACGGATCCTCAAAAGTTCTTCCAAATAAAGCGTGTTCCCCAAGTGTTTTCCCCTTTAACTGCTCCCGACTTCTCATCTTTCTGCATTTGCGCTCCGGAGAAAAGCCTCAGCCCCGTCCTGGCACAGCTCCAGTTCGGTGTTCGTTTTTAAAAGCCACCCGGCCAACGCCTGGGAGAGGCGGAACTAAAGGCTCAGCCAAAAGGGGAAAGAAATGGCTGGGGAACCCCCTTCCCACCCCGCCGCTGGAGCCAGAACCGCCCGCACCCACCCGAGCGCTGCCCCGCGCGCGGGAAGCGCTCCGCGGCCCCGGCCGGGCAGTGGCGAGGCATTCCCAGTAACTTCCATGGCAGCCCCTGCAGCAGCCGGGCAGCGAACCGGAGACACGGCCCCGTAAATGTAAAACCCAACAAACCCAACCGAACCCCCCCG